GATGATCCGATGATCGACCTGCTACGTCGCACATGCATTTTGTATTACAAATTTTATCGCTTAACAAAAATACAGTTCGCATCGTCAATAATGAACTATGAACTTTGAAATATTATCGTGAACCAAATATTTTACATTGAAAATTTTTTAGTGTTCTATTTTCTATTTGATAGATTCTACAACGGAAATATTTTACTTTTTTTGGGTTTAAAAACTATTTTTTTGTAATTTTAACAAGTTTTGCTAAAGTTTTTGCGAAGATACAAAATAAATTTAGCTAAGTATTTTTTTTTTTTAAGACAAAATCCTTGCTTTTAATTAATTTCGAAGTTACTCAAAATACAATAATAATCTTTTATATTATATTAAGTTTCGTCGTTGCTTAAAAATAAGGTCCAAGGTTTGGAATCACTCCATGTTGTACGTCGTTTTCTATGGCTTTTTGCTTTTTCTATATCTGAGAGAATAGTAAAAGCATGGTTTAAATTATTTACAATAGATTCTACATGTTGTAAGTTATTTGCTGTTAGTTCTACATTAATGTGATCAACTAAACGTTGCAATGCCACTGCTTTAGACTCAAGAATCTGGCGTTTGTTAGTAAGGATTTCATGATCTTCATCCATATTATAGTGATCTATAGTATTAATCTGATCATACGTTCTAATAGTTTCTATATTTTCAGATACGTTTTGTGTTACACTTCCATTCCATATCAAAAAGGGATAATCAGATTGTCGTTTAAAATTAGAATATATCAATCTGATCCCCTCAGAATTATTTGTACTTTCTGACACTTTATGAACTAAATGCTTACAGATGAGAAAGTGATTGTTAAGAAACGATGGGCAACTGCAAATCCAGCGGTCTAAATCAATAAAATACGAATTATTATGATTTGGTAATTTGGTAAGAAGATTTCTCCATTGTCTTTTAAATTCATCAAACCACGCTGGTTCTATTCTACTAGTTGCTAATTGCTGAAATCGATCAAACTGGTCAGGTATAACACGTGAAGAAATAACCCAGATTAGATAATCAAGCCATGGACGGTTAAGGTGTGAAAGGTAATGGTGTTTTAGAACCATCCAATGCGCTTCGATCATATTGTTAGTTTTGCCAAGTGGTATGGTTGTTCGGGTAGAACGTGCCCAAAGGCACCATCTTGTAGGTTTGTACCAGGAGGACCATAAATAGGTCCATAATATTACAAGATTGTTTGTGAAACAAAATTTATATATCTCAGAAACTGCTTTTGTTCTTATTTCTGTAGGGGATAAAAATTGTCCATGATAATTAATAGAAATCTTAGAATGCATATTTGCATGGTTTTTAATTATTTCAACAACTGTAATATGAAGCTCAGGGGGGCAAACAATATTATACTCATAATCTGTATGTTGTAGGTCTGGAATAAAAGAAGAATCGACGAAGGTAAATTCTTTTATAACTTCTTCATAATTATAATTTATACGTTCGATTTTTTTACGACTTTTAAGCTTATTTTTGATCGCTTTTTCTAGATGCCATAGGCAAAGTTGTATATCAATTAAGGGCCATACATTTTTAGCAGCTGTTATTTCGGCGAAATCTTTATCAGAGTAAAAGAAAGTTGGATTTAGACCCTTATTACGAAGAGTAAGAAAAAACTCTGTAAGTGCTTCAGTTTGTAATCCATCTTGGCTTTCATTTTTAGAAGCCTTTGTCGTATCTAAAATAAGGTATGCTAATGCAAAACCTACACCTTGAACATTACCAACAACTCCATAAAGCTCGAATCGCCCTTTGGAGGTTTTATACGTGGCATCACAGTGTATTTCCATGTAATCGGATTTATCAAGTAGGCATGTCGTGAAACCGATAGCTGTTGTATTACTCGTATCAAGATGAAAACATAGAGTACAATGATTATTAATTTGTTTGGTAAAAAACATATGTGCTGACACAATATGATTTTCGTCACTTTTATAGAATTGCTGTGTAAAATAGAAGCAAGAACTAAAACAAGAGTGTGATTTAAGCCGTAGGACCACCAGTAATGAATTTGCTTAGATGTGACATTGGATATATTAAATTTTTTTCGAAGATGTTGTCTTAATTCGACAGGATTCAAGTGTAAGTGCTTATTAATTTCTTGTTTTACTTCAGAT